GCACCACCAATTTCGTCCAATCGGAGATTGGGATCTCCTCTGACCAATAGAAACTTCGGGTGAAAATTAGTAAATGCACAGTGCTTAGACAGTGCATGATCACGTGGCCTTCAAAATTCCATGTCCACGTGATCACGGAAAATTGACTAAAGATTATTTTATCGTTTGAATTAGGATTAGGGTTATAGCTAAAAATAAGATAGCGATAGATTTTTGATATTTGTTTTCCACATTTTGATTCAACACGTCACGTGACTGTTGTCTTGCATTATTAATCAGATATTAGAACTCGAATAAATGTACGGTGCACGTGATCTTAAATAAGTCCATTAAAATATCCGATTAATATTAGAAGTCTATATCAAGTATTAGGGTTAGAGTTAGAGCTGAGATCAAGATTATATTGTCTTCCGACATTTTTTGATAATGCGCTAAAGATTTAGACATCTGTTTTCGCATTTTTTGTCTTCTTGTACCGGATGTTTTATCGGGTTGATCAAAAATTTGCTACATTCCTATTGGTTGCGCATAATATTTGCGCATTCTTATTGGTTGGATTAATTCATCATCACATGCACCGTACATTTTATTCGGACAAGTTAGCATTCCAATAATGTAATGGTATTCTCTTTAGAGGTTACATGAAGGTCCATAGAAGTCTGCTTTTCTTCACCGCCTTACCGCTTAAATTGGGAAGAACTACAGGGACTTCCCAGATGTCTCCGACAGGATCTCTTCGGGGGAATAAATGTATTCAGAAAGGAAATCAGAGTAGACAGATTTTTTCCAATGGCAAGCATGTGTTTAAATCCTGCATCCGTTGTAGCAACAGCAAACTCTTGATTTTAGATAAACTTTGTTTCTTAAGTAAAGTGTAGAAACAGCAAACTTTCGTTTCTTGGGTAAAACTTGTTTCTTAGATGAAAAGGACGTGTCTAAAACTGAAAGAGTGTGGAAACTTCGAGTAGCCATGAATTAACATTTTGTAGATGTGTGTGAATTTAAGAAACAGAATAGTAGAAGTGGTCACTCGCTTGGCTGTGTAAATAGCATGGTTGAGACGAATTGACTATATAATCAAAAATTTAGTAAAAGGAGAAATTTTTTTGTGGGAAATTTGAACAAAACGATCGTTCCAAAGTCCATATCGATAACGATGCGAATTTTTGTATAATCTTAGATTCATCGCAACAAACCAATCAAGCATCAAAATAATAAAAATCTTTTTGAACATTCTGCGGATCCTTCCTTTTCGACAAGTCTTTAGGAGTTTTATTCAGTAGTCGTCTATTTATCCATTCATCCATCCATAATGGTAAACACAAAGAAGGTAAGCATTGATATATTGAATAGTTTATAGTACCTTTCGAAGTGTGTTTGAGTAAAAGAAATTGAGTAGATACCTCGTATGTAGAATCTTATTAAATTTTGAACTCTAGTTCTAGAGACTACCTTTTCTTGATAAAGTCGTTACATATATTTAATATATAAGAATATTCTAGCTAATACCTACTTACTATGTATACAACAATAACAGCAAGAAGCCGAAGAAAAAGCACCAGCTCAAAACCCAATGCGAGAGCTTCGCATCGAAAAACTAGTTCTAAACATTTGTGTAGGCGAATCCGGAGACAGATTAACTCGAGCCGCAAAAGTGCTCGAACAATTAACCGGCCAAACGCCAGTCTACTCAAAAGCTCGGTACACTGTACGTTCGTTCGGTATCCGACGTAACGAAAAAATCGCGGTCCACGTCACGGTTCGTGGTCCCAAAGCCGAGGAAATCTTAGAGCGTGGTCTAAAAGTAAAAGAGTACGAACTGAAAAAGAGTAACTTCTCGCAGACCGGGAATTTTGGGTTCGGTATCCAGGAACACATTGATCTTGGTATCAAGTATGATCCGTCGATTGGTATTTATGGAATGGATTTTTATGTGGTGCTTGGAAGGCCTGGACAACGTGTCTCGAGGAGGCGACGTGCTCAGACTAAGGTTGGTTCTAATCACCAAGTGACAAAAGATGAGACGATCAAATGGTTTAAGCAACGGGTATGTGTGGATTTTTTTCTCTTTTATTTGAGGGATATTACGAGAAACAAATTATTTTACGGAATACCAATAAAATATGGGAGAATATTATGTATGCTTTCAACAAAAATAAATTCAAATTGACTTATTATTTTATTCTTATTTTACTGTAACAGTTTGACGGTATTGTGCTCAATCGTTAAACCATAAAATTCAAATTAAAAAATTCCAAGTAATGGTGACTGATTTGATGATGATTATTTCAAAATGTTTTGTTTCTTGATTTTTTTTATTTGTTATTACGCTATTTTATTTTTAATATGTATAAAGATTCGAAAGACTATTTGTTTAGATTTATTGGGAAGGTGGAGTTGGATGAAATATAGCTGTTTATATGATGCTGTTGCGTTTTAATTCATTTTCATATTAATAGCATTAATGACGATGACGATGACGCTTTAATACAACGTTGATAATATTTTATACTGGCGAGAATAGTACTATAATTTCTTGTTTTTATTCTCAAAATCTCCAAACCCTTATTTTTTATCACGTGTGCTTCAAATTCCACACAGTTATTTGTTTATATGATTAAAGATATTGATTTGCACAGCTAGTAATCACAGTTGAATAAACAAAACATGTAGCCTTATAGGGCGAATTTATTTTTATTTTTATTTTTAATGAACATAATGAACTACAATTGTAAAGATAAAAACTATAAAGACAGAAAAATGTTAGGAATATGTTCTAACCAAACTTCAGACTTTATATTTTTCAAAAGGCACTTCATTGCACACATTAATATAATTCACATATTTATTTATTAAATATCACAAGATTTTGATTATAATAATATCATAAATTAACTTTATATATTCATATTAAATTACTTCAGAAACATATATACAATTTTTTTTAGCATAAAGTTAAAGTCAATATGAATAATATTTCTGAAGAGAAAATATATTATTTATATTATATTTAATAATTTAATCTATCAAGTAATTATTTCAAAATTTATATAATATAAAAATTTGGAAATTTATATTTTATTATAAAGAAAAACATTGAATAATATTAATACATAAATATTATCACAATTTATTTTAGTATCAGTAACAAAAAAAAATATTATTAATTTTGAAAAATTAATAATTTTTTTCTTTGTTACTGGTACTAAAATAAATTGTAATAATATATACTATAGTTTAAATAATTATATTTATTTATAGTTATTTAAATTTATATTATTGGAATAATTTGATCTTTGAAATTCAAAAGTAAAAATATCTAATTATTTTAGCAAATTTGTTTATACTTTAAAATTTTTTGTTAATATATTATCTATTTAATTTATTATTAATTGGGATCAGATTTAGTTATTAATTTCATAAATCAAGTTTTTTGGTTGAGTTCAATATTGTTATGATATGAATATTTAGTTCTTAATTTATTGGTTAATTCATATCGTAAATTTAATTGAATAATATTTTAGTATTATATTATTGGACAATTATATTAATAAGTAGTGTTTGAAATTCTATTTGAATTTTGATTCAAATTTCTATTTGAATTTCAGTTCAAATTTCTATTTGAATTTTGATTCAAAATTCAACACAATTATAATTTTATTGGATATTTAGTTTTTATAATTTATTTATAAAAATAGCATGTATTTTAACTAGTAAAAATATTCAAAATTCAATTAATAGTTAATAGATTCCATAGTTCTTAGAATCTCAAGAATAATTAAAAACAATAAATCAATAAGAAATTCATTCATTAATGAAATTATATATATTTATTATTATATTATAATCTTATAATGAGAACTACACATTTATTACATAACTGTCTCATTCTAGCAGATCACATCATGAACACACTGTTATCACCATTCTAAACCTGTTATAATAATGATATAATTCTTGAAGTATTATATTTGATTACACCATCTATACTCTCACTATTAATATACATTATCATACTTACCCTGGTTAAATAACCTATTATAACGTCATAGACTCTCCCCCTTGACATCCTAGAATGGTAACAATATAAATTGATCAAACCTAATCTGATATTTTAATCAGCTTTTTTTTAGTTGAGTTTAAATCTGGTTCAATTTAAATTTTAAATTCGGAACTTTGGTATGATTCTAAAATTAGCTTGCATGTGCAAAACAAACAAATCAGATAAGGATCACTGATTTCGGATGGGGATATAAACCTCCCATTTAGACATAAAAAGCAAAGTTAGTTCTTTGCACTCGATAAAATATAAATAATTCTGTTCTTTTCCTCTCTTATAATTTTTTTTTTACGATTAATAAATATGACCGACCCTGCAACTACTGGTAATGTGAGTATAATGGATAGGTGTGAAGAAAAAGAAATTTGATAAAGCTGTTTGGTTATTTCGGTTTTATTTTTTACTGTGGTAGTTAAAAATTGCAGTGATTTAAGAAAATGAAAACACAGCATTTGCCTACCAGAAAAACTTAAAAGCTGAAATTCCAAATATAAATTATCTTATATCTATTAAATATCGTGGAATTAAATAATTTGATAAAATATCTAAACAGGCAGAATTCATCAAAGCCGCGGAAGAAGCCAAAGTTTTGAAAAAAAAGCCAAATAATGACGAAATGCTAGAATTGTATGGACTGTACAAGCAATCTATTCTAGGTGACAATGACACTAGTAAGTTTTCTTTTACTATTTTTTTCTTTCTCATTTTTATTTTCTCGTTGATTTATTCGATTTTTTGTTTTTTTTTTTACAGAGAAACCTGGCGGCTTTAGCTTTACGGATAAAGCTAAATGGGAAGCGTGGGAAAAGAAAAAAGGTATATTATTGTACATGTATTTTTTAATTGTTCTTGGCTGTATCATTTATCTTTGGATATGTTTGAAATATTAATGAATTAAAATAAAAAATAGGAACATCAAAGGAACAAGCACAAGCAGAATACATTACTCTCGTACAAGAACTCAAGCTTAAAGATGCATAATCGAATATTATTATTGTTTTTCAAGATAATGATCGTGATAAATAATAATGGTGGTGACTTTGGTTGTTACTATTTATTATGTTATTGTTATTTTTAATTTATATATTACACGAGACTTTTTGTGACCTATAAAATTAATAAATATAATTTATCATTATATTATTATATTATTATATTATGATATTATGATACGGATACAGACTCGAGAGAATGAACTTAAAAGTGACGAGTCATATAACACAGTTAATCTTATCCTTGTAAAACCAAAATGATCTCTCAATTCCTAGTGTTTTTTTTTCTAGTCTTTGGAACATTTTCTTAAATATGTTCTACAGTATCTCATTAATACACAATAAAATAACATCCAGGTGCTTTTTCCAATTTTTTGATTTGATTCTAATTGGTCATTGTAATATTTCAACGTTGGAATTCACAATAAATTACAATATCATTTTTAATTCAAATCTTTCTATAATCACATTCCTTTTGATTAACTATCGCTATTCAATTTGATTTTTCCAAGAAGAAATTTTTTAAATAAGTAATTCAACATGCCGATTGGCTCATATGATTTTACTACATATCGATATCGCTAATAACGATAACATCTAATTTTAGAATTATTGTTCTTTATCACCTGATTTTTTATGGGGTTAATGATGATTATATTGTATAATATATCAGGTATAAATTGAAATCACCTATATAATCTGATCTACATTATCATTATCCTAGCTTCTTGATTAGTGCTCAACGTCAATGTTAGATTTCAATAATCAAAATCAAATTTTTACGGTTAGTTTGTATTTATTAATTTATTAGATAGACACCATGGTAAAGGTAATAAACACCAATACAAAAAAATATTTTTGTTCAAATGCCGCTAACGGAACAACTAAAACTAATTCTAGAAAACCGTAAAAAACGGTCTCTTTTTCGATCACTGACTGTATCCACATCAAACAGCATCGACTTTTCTTCGAATGACTTTCTCGGACTCTCGCGTAATGCAACATTACATAACAATTTCATAGCACAACTCATAAATTTTCCACAGCCACCACTCGGTTCAACCGGCTCACGTCTCCTAGACGGGAACTCTTCCTTTGCCGAGTCACTCGATAAGTTCATTGCCGATTTCCATCACGCTGAAAGCGCGTTAATGTTTGCTTCGGGGTTTGACGCGAACGTCAGTTTCTTTAGTAGTGTTCCACAACCAGGAGATGCGATTATTCTCGACCAGTTCGTGCATGCTAGTGTACATGATGGCGTGAGAAATTCTCGGGCAAAAATTGTGTTGAATTTTTTGCATAATAATTTAGAGGATTTGACACGACAGCTGGATAAGGCTGTGCAGACTATCGGCGGGGAAAAGAATATCTTTGTTTCGGTGGAGAGTTTGTATTCGATGGATGGTGATATCGCGCCTCTAAGAGAAATAGTTGAAATACTGAAATCGTATAATGCTTATTTGATGGTTGATGAAGTAAGTTTTTTTTGTGTGCATGTATGCGTGTGTTCTTTCATTCTTTTCTAATCTTAATTTTCTGTATGAATATGTTAAATAGGCTCACGCGACAGGCGTATACGGTGATCAAGGACGCGGAATAGTCTGTGAACTCGGTTTAGAAGACAAGATATTTGCGCGCTTACACACATTTGGAAAAGCAATGGCATCTAATGGAGGTACACTACTCAAACCATCCTGATGATGATGCAACATCACATGTGGAACACGTTTTTTCATTATGGTCTGCATTTTTCCAGTTTGGTAAACACTTGTCATCTCACCATATTATTATTATTATTATTATTATTATTATTATTATTATTATTATTATTATTATTATTATTATTACTACTACTACTACTATTACTACTACTACTGCTGCTGCTACTGCTATTGCTATTACTGTTATTGCTAACATCATTGTGTGAATGATATTATTGTGCGTTATAGCCGCTATTCTCGGACCCAATATACTTCGAATGTATCTCATAAATTACGCGCGACCGTTGATTTTCTCGACGTTTTTGCCTTATAGTAATTTAATCAGCATTAAATGCGCGTATAATGTTATTGCAAGTGAACTTGGAGATCAGGTATGTCTACTTTAGCTTATTTTTAAGGTTAAATATTTTTTTAAGATTAAGTCTTCATCATTTTTGCTTATTTGTAGCTTCGAATACGTTTAAAAAATCTGATTGCATTGTTTCGATCAAGTATCAAAATACCGCCACACATGTTATTACCTTCCACGAGTGCAATCCAAGGGGTTATTATGCCGGGTAAGCGCATCTAACGATCATCAAGTCAATTTTCAGACTTGGTTCTAATCCAGATAGACTTTTTTCAATAATCAAAAAGGCAACGAAAATGCCGTGAAACTAAGCAAAATGATCCAACAGGCCGGCTACAACGTCAAACCTATCCGTTCGCCGACTGTCTCACCTGGAAGCGAGCGTGTTCGTATATGCATACATGCTGACAATACCGAAGAGCAAGTACTAGGACTCGTGCGTGTTATTGAAAGATTCATCGATGATTCATTCTCTTCTTTTTTGTCTGGTAGTGATGTGGATAGCGCACAAACGTATTCGTCATCCTTGTCCTCTGCAACACAGAGACCGATATCTAAACTATGATATTTTAATCATACTGAACTTTATTGTAATTCTATTGTAATTGTTGATTGAATTGTGGATATAATATTGTTTTTCTTTTTAGATGTTTAATAAATGACACGTAACATCAACATCCCGAACGTGTTTTATATACCAAACGTCAAGGTATCACACATCCAAATTTGATGTTACAGAAGAAAAGTAGCGCATTGATAGAACGTTTCAACATTTACGGATATGATAGATCGATTATGATTTCATTCGATTCATTCATCAATCATTTGTTTGACATACATTTGTTTATAGATGACTATACATTCAATATATTATTAGATTACTACATATCGATGATAATTGTTTTTGGTTTTTCTTAAAAAAAAAAATAACGGTATCATATATTGAATATTGTTGTATTAAACACTTTTAGTCTCCTTCCCACTCCCACCATTCCATTTGCTTTTTCCAACATCCACATCATCTTCCACGTTCATTCCCCTTCCTGTTCTCCATCTTCCGCCTTCGGTAATAAACGTGTTGGACCACCGCCACAACACGCACCATTGATTGTTGATGATTACAATTTTTTTTTAAAAAAAAATAACTCTTGAGAACAAAAAAATCATAGGTTTAATTAACTAATTTTAATTTTAAATAAGTATATGTAATAAATTATGGAATAGATAATGGAATAAATGAATGAACAAATTAATAGTTGAATTAAGAAAAGACAAAAAATGTAAATAAAATAAAGTTCTTGATTCCAGAATTAAAACAAAAGAGAAAAAAGAGGACGACCTACTACACCAAGAACGGGAACAATACTTAACTTTATGATGAAAAACAAATAAATAAAGAAATAAATCATTATTCCTATTTATCTTTATTTATTTGTGATAAATTATATAGTTGTGATGAATTAATTAATTATTTATTATTCCAAAAAAAAAAATTGATTCACTTTAATATATTTACAAGATCAGACATTTCTTCGCTTGTTTCTGTACAGGGGCAGGAGAAAGAACCGCACGAATGGCCTCATCAAACACATTTTTCAAACCCTTTTGCGTCAACGCCGAACACTCCATATACCTGACCGCAGAAATATCCTTGGCCATCTGCAAGCCCTGGGGATACGTAATCGGGGACTGCTGTTTCTGCCGTAACTTCAAAATGGTTTCCTTATCTTCACGCAGATCCAGTTTGGTCCCGACCAAAATAATTGGGACGTTGGGTGCGTGATGCGTGATTTCGGGATGCCACTTGCCACGCACGTTTTCAAACGACGCCGGGCTCACCAATGAGAAACAAATCAAAAAGACGTCGGTTTGTGGATAGGAGAGCGGACGGAGTCGGTCGTAGTCTTCTTGACCGGCTGTGTCCCATAGACCTAAGTTTATGGGTTTTCCGTCCACCATGATGTTTGCCGAGTAGTTGTCGAATACTGTAGGAATGTATTCTCCTGGGAAAGCATTAGTCGTGTAACTGATTAGAAGACAGGTTTTTCCTACTGCTCCGTCTCCTACTACTACACATTTTATGGCTTGCATTGTTTTTTTTTTCGCGGAAATTTAGAGGGTGATGGTGGTAGAAAAAAATTGTTCTTAAAAAAAAATGATAAGAATTTGTTGTTTGACGAAACAAAATTTTATCAAGTGCTGCTATTGTATTAACTAACTAACTAACTAAAAGAACGAGAGGGAAAAGAACGAAAAGCAAAAAAAGGGAAAAAGAATTATTATTATCACAGTTGTTTAGGTATTTATTTGTATTTAATTATTATTATATTCTTATATAATACTATATGATGATATATATTATCGTTTGTCGTCGTTGCTCTGGTCACAGTGTTCCTTTGGTTGTCGTTTAAAAAAAGTTGATGGGTACGATAATTGTAACGCAGCTTAGTCTTTCTGCCTATATATATGTGAATGTGTAAGGATTGGTTGGTTACATGCATGAAAATAATTTGGGTAGTCAGATAAATGCAAGAAATTTTCTTGTGTTTGTGTCGGTATCAGGTAACACAACTATAAACTACTAATTGCTTCCTTTCCAAATCACACACAATATAATACCAAAGCGTCTTGTAATCCGCGAAAGAATGGATGAATCATGAAGATCTACAGACTACAATTGATTAATTAATTTACGTTAAAATTAAAATTTACGTTACAACCAAATTACGTACGTTACAATTAAGCTTTATCGGGGTGTTGTCATCGTTTTTGGTCGAACAACAAACAACTTTCACATAAAATAAATGATAATAGTCTGATTCACTGTCCGACTGACTGTCTAACTCTCCCCCCCTCCCCCCCTCCCATTAATAATTAATGCCAAGCCATCAACTCTATCCTATTCCTAATATCATATTACATTATTATATCTTTCAAATGAATACCTACACATACATTCTCGTATATGTATGCCGAAAATTCCTTTCGATTGATGATCGGTGACACTTCGGCCTATTGTTCAAGATACTAACAATAACGCCAGAAGAAATCAAGTAATTTCTCTTCAAATCCGTCATCCGAAGTTCCACGAATCCCATAATGATGCCATCTAATATTTTCTCTATTATACAAATTTCACAACCGTTAATAATAATACCAACCAAAATAAAATTAAAAGTTAATATTATTACGAACAACAAAGAAAAGCCATTACGAAATCAAGATCCTTTTTTCCCAAAACAAGATAATGAAAATGAAAATAAAATACTAATACAAAAAAGAAATCATAAATCATCTGTTACGTATTATTTTTACAATATAGTACATAATTTGCACTTTGGCTGCGGTTTAGGGAGCGTATTAAGTCCCGCACGAACAGCTTCATCAAACACGTTATTTAGACCCTTCTGCGTCAACGCCGAGCACTCCAAATACTTTACAGCACAAATATCTTTTGCCATCTGTGCACCTTTCGCATACGTGACTGGCACTTCACCCTCCTGTCGCAACTTGAGAATAGTTTCTCTATCCTCGCGCAGATCCAGCTTCGTGCCCACCAAAATAGTCGGCACATTCGGCGAGTAGTGATTAATTTCTGGCAACCATTTGCTTGACACGTTTTCATACGATGTCGGGGATACCAACGAGAAACAAATTATAAAGACGTCCGTCTGTGGATAGGACAGAGGACGGAGTCGGTCGTAGTCTTCTTGGCCAGCCGTGTCCCAGAGTCCCAGGTTTATGGGTTTCCCGTCGACCATTGGTTTCGCCGAGTAGTTGTCGAATACTGTGGGTACGTATTCGCCGGGAAAGGCATTGGTCGTGTAACTTATTAACATGCTGGTTTTTCCTACTGCTCCGTCGCCTATTATTACACATTTTATGGCTTGCATGGTTGTGGAATTTACTTTTTTTTGTTCACCCTCGCGTTCTCCTCGTTTCTTTCTTTTTTGCTTTTATTAATATTGTTACAGTTGTTTTTTGTTAGACAATAAAAGATAGTCGTTACCTGTATAAACCTCTATATTATATATTTTATACTATGTGTACACATGCGTCTGTGTTATGTGTTACTGGACGCGGCTAGAAAAAAAAATAAAGTTATTAGTTTTTTCGGAACGGTTATGGATAAATGTGAATAAGTGAGCGTCACGAATAGGTTAACGTGTCTGTGTGATTACGAAATGGCAAAGTGTGTGTATGGTAGCGTTGACGTTAATAACCAGTATGGTCAAAGTATAAGATAAGGGAGTAACGGTGAGAAAGAATGAAGATTTATTTTTATCCGTTTGATGTACGGTGATACAACATCACTTCTCCCACAATGTATGTGGGAGGATAATTTTTCCTTATGATCTTGATCCATGTTTGTTCTTGTACGCGCGTTCTTTTTTCTTCCTTTTTGGCACTCTGACGACTTGGATAAAATATAAAAACCTCGCCCAGCTTGGGTATTGTTAAACCTATTGATAGATTATTTATTTATCTATTTATTTATTTACGCTTTCTTCGACTCGAGTTCCCACCCATACAAAACCCTAAACAAAAATCAATGGCAAGTTTCAAGTTCTGCGCTGAATGGTATGCATTAAAAATTTTAATGAGTTAATGATTGAATGATGAATGATGACTGTCACACAGGAATAAAGTACAATCGAGTGATTGAGCTAAATGAGAAACAAAATATTTATTGATTCAAATAATTCCAACGAATCAAAAGTAATTGATTCGATTCAGAATAAATCGAATTAAATCAATGTTTATTTGTTTCTCTTGGTCTTGACAACGTCCGGGAAATTGTCACCACACAAAAAACAACAACAATAACAAACATGCAAACTTAGTAACAACATGCTCTACCCAAAAGAAGACAAAGAAATACGTCTATTGACATACGCATGTAGAAACTGCGAATATCAAGAACCATCCGAAAATCAGTGTGTCTATCGAAATGATGTCGAGAATATCATGTACGTGATTTGACGGAATTTGTATATTGGAAATTTTTGTTTGGATGGTGGATCGTTTCCTTATAATATTGTCTTATTGAAATGACAATAAAGTGAACAGACCACATCAGAAATCAAAGATTTAGCAGCGGACCCGACATTCCCGCGCACAAAAAAACAATGCCCGAAATGCGGTCACGATGAAGCCGTGTTTTTTCAATCACCGTCACGTCGACTCGATACGAAGATGACCTTGTTTTACGCATGTGCCGATAAACGATGTGGATACCGATGGACGTATCGGTGGACGTGGGTTGAGAATCAGGGGGAGGCTGAACGTAATTATTATTATACTTGTACTATATTATGCTTGATGTGATTTTTTTGGTACCATTTTTTTTTTATTATCTGAATTATATATAGTGGTTGGAATTCCGCCGTTACGTCCAGACTTGGATGACGATGATCTACAGTTATTAGATGATCAGTTGCAACAAATAGAAGGCGAGGAAGATCTAGACGACGAATGGAAACAACAGTTGCTTTTACATGATAGCGTTAATGGTGGCGTTGATATCGGTGATATCGGTGATATTGAAGAAGAATAAATGAACAATAATAAATGCAGAGTAATATTATTTTTTAATCAGAATTAAAAGTGATTGAAGGGTAGGTGTTATAATTTTATATGAGTGTGTGATTTGATAGCGTGAAAATTAATTAAATTTTTTTGAGAGAAAAGAAAGTGAATAGAAAGAAGATAACCAATAAAAGTTTATTATTTTCTTGATTTCCATTTTTAATTAAAAAAATATAAATTAAATCAAACCGTTTCTATATAAATTGTCATATAAATGTAATATCTTTCTTATAATTTATATCATCGATATTATATTATATAACGCACACTTTCTCTACAACACGCCCACTTCCTTAAGTTTCTTAATAAGTTCATCAACCGAAGCAACTTTCGTACCACCAACGCGCACTGGGGGTTCCGTGACCGAAAGCGTTTCCAGTCGTGGACTGATGTCAATATTGAGTTCTTGCGGTGTTAACACTTTTAGTGGTTTCTTTTTTGCTTTCATTATGTTTGGGAGGGTTGCGAAGCGGGGTTCGTTTAGTCTTTTTATTGTTTGATTGTTTAATTGATAATATTAATTTAATTAATAGATTTTGTGATGGTGAGAGTGGTTAGTTAATGGATAATATTAAGAAAATAAAAATCATACCGTAAATCAGCTGTCACAACAACAGGCAATTTGGTACTTATTGTTTCCATTCCGCCATCAACTTCTCGAGTCACTTTAACATTATCACCTTCAATTTCAACTTTCGAAGCAAATGTAGCCTTACATTATCATAAAATAAAAAATGAAGGGTTATTTTATGACCGAATCCGTTATTTGTACGTATGATTAGCAAAGTTAAATCTTACTTGCGGCCAATTCAACAGCCCAGCCAACATCTGTCCCGTCTGACTAGCATCATCGTCAATCGCCTGTTTTCCTAAAATCACCAAATTCGATTGCTCCTTCTCTACCACAGCTTTAAACAGTTTCGCCACCGCCAGCGGCTGTAAATTTGTGGCAGCGTTGTCATCTTTAACGTCAACGTGCACCGCACGATCGGCACCCATGGCCAACGCTGTTCGTAGTACCTCTTGAACTTTTTGCGGGCCAAACGATACAGCAATTACTTCCGAGACTCGGTCTTTTAATTTTTCTTTGAGCTTTACCGCTTCTTCCACCGCAATTTCGTCAAACGGGTTCATCGAGTGTTTGATGCCGGCTGTTTCTACTCCTGTTTTTGATTGGTTGACCCGGATTTTTACGGCAAAGTCGATTACGCGTTTGCATCCTAAACGAAGAAATTTCGCGACCCTTATTGTTAATTTTTAAAACTAAAAGAAATTTTGCTTCTTTGAAATAAAAGTTATACAGTTGACATGCCTACAAGAATTCGCAATTTTGACATCTTTTCTCTCTTTAGATGTGATTTCGAAGATGTGATATTTGATCTTATTTCTATAGCTGATGATGACTCATATTATTAAGAAAAATAATTCCGTGTGATTGTCCATCTATTCATGCACGTGTAACAATGAGAATCACCTCGAAAAATACGAAAGTTCATTTATCGTTATCACATCATGACAAATCTGCTGTTAAAGAAGACAACTCTTTTGTGTGTCAGAGTTTTCTCTATCAGGTCTCTTTTAATATTTCATCAATTACTAAGAAATCAACATTAACATAACAGCAATAAAAATGTCCACAAACATAACATGGCACGAAGGTACGATTTCGAGAGCCGAGCGTCAAAAACTCTTGGGTCAAAAAGGTCTTACGTTATGGTTCACGGGACTCTCGGCATCCGGCAAATCCACACTTGCCAGTGCGCTAGAACAACATCTTTTGCACCATAGAGTGGCGAGTTATCGACTTGACGGGGATAATATACGATTTGGGTTGAATAAAAATTTGGGGTTTAGTCCACAAGACCGATTTGAGAATATTCGACGTATTGCGGAGGTTATTTTTTCCTGATTGTGCGCATTCATCATCGTGTGTGAATGTAATTGCGTGTTTTTTTGGGGCAATTTATGTCCTTTTTTACTGATGATATTCTTGTGTGGATACATTAATAGGTCGCGAAATTATTTGCCGATGCGACATTTATCACTCTTGTCTCGTTCATCTCGCCATACAGAGAAGATCGCGATGCCGCGAGAAAATTGCACGAGGAAAATGGAATTCCATTTGTTGAGGTAATTATATTTGATTGGTTTTCGCCCATTCTTGTCCTATTCAAGCTTATATATACACATTCACTCGTCTATACTTTACGTAAATTAGATATTCGTTGATGCACCATTAGAAATATTAGAACAACGTGATCCGAAAGGACTCTATAAAAAAGCCAAAGCTGGAGAGATTAAAGGTTTTTTTTTCTCTGTTTTCTTTGGTGTATTTTTGATTTTTTGCGCACATATATATATAGGGGTGAATCAGTAGAAACCAAGCAAATCCATCTTATAAATTTGCTTTTTTTCTACTAATTCACTCACAAATATCTCAGCATCCAGTTATTTGAATTCCAGTCATTTTATTACCATTTAATTTGCCTCAACAAAATGAATTAATTGATAATTGGATGTTGAGATATTTGGAAATAAATCAGTAGAAAAAAGGCAAAGCCATAAGATGGATTTGCTTGGTTTCTATTGACTCACCCCCATATATATTTGGATGGATGCGGTGACTTTTTAGTATTTTTGTCTCATACACGAAAAAGCTAACGGGCTCCACACTTAATTACTGGAATCCACTTCCCTTTCCATCTTCCCAAAACAAAGAATTCACTGGAATCTCCGCACCCTACGAAGCACCAACCTCGCCAGAACTTCACATTCGCACCGACAATTTGTCCATTGAAGACGGAGTGAAATTGATCGTTGATTATTTGGTTGAACGTGGACATTGCAGTTTTGAGACGACAAACACGACCTCGTCCAATCATGTCGAGTCTCGGGCTTTTACGAATAAGATAGGAGATATAGTAAATTAATGATCCGGTAGTAATTACTTGATTGATGTGGTCTAATTGGTCTAATTTATTTAATTTATTTTTTTGATTCTTAAATTTATTTGTTTGACTCTTTTAACTTTTTGTTTATAATTATATTTATTGAAATTGTGATCGACTCTGTTGAATTAATTTTTATTCAGATAAATCAAAAAATAAATCTGTATTAATTTATTTATTAAGTTCAGAAACATTTAATGCGGTCAGTTCTCTAACCAATCCAGTAATTGTGGTGTATAATACGTCAAAATAAGATTTGCACCTATAAAATAAAACACGATAAAAAAATCAATCAATCAAAAAATGAACAAACAAACAATACAAACCTGCACGTAAAAATCCTTCCAAACTTTCCAGAACAGCCACCTTCAAATCAAAAACGCCAGCCTCGGCCGCACGATAAATCATGGCGAATTCACCCGACACTTGGTACACGGCTATCGGGACGTTCGGACTTAATTCTTTGGCGTCGCGGAGAATATCTAGGTATGGTAGGCCGGGTTTCACCATTATTATGTCGGCGCCTTCGCCTAGATCGCGGATCTTTTTGGAAATTGAAATAATGGAAATAATGGATTAGGTGAAATAAAGAATATCTGATTTCCTATACATATACATACAATAGCACGTCGCGCTAATCCACGTGAACCCGGTGGTAGTTGGTAACATTTACGATTGCCAAATGCTGGTGCAGAATTCGCGGCGTCTCTGAAATTCATTATTATTATTATTATTATTAAGACCCGCTAATTCTATAGACTATTTTTATTACTATTATTATTATTATTACTATTACCGAAACGGTCCATAAAAAGCACTAGCAAACTTTGCACTATAACTCATAAGCGTGACTTTATTACTTAATCCTTCACGAATCAATGACGCTTTAATCTCTTTTATTCGTCCGTCCATCATATCTGAGGGAGCAACACAATGAGCGCCTATCCAAATCAAAAAAATATTCATTAAATCAAGGATCGATACTCTTTTGATATGAAATGGATCTAAAAGAATACAGACCAGCTTTCGCGTAATTTATGGCTACTTCTGTCAATCGATTCACACTTGCAATATTGTCAATCGTACCATCTTGATTCAACCATCCTATAAAGGTGATGAGAATTAAACATATTGTTTATCACTTGATTTGCCACAAAATAAAAAAATACGTTTATATTTCTCAACCATACCACAATGCCCATGATCAGTATACTCGCAAAGACACACATCACAAGCGACAAATAAGTCAGGATATTCACGACGAATCAGTTTCACAGTTTGTATTACCGGGCCATTTGGATCGTCTGCTCTTGAACCAGTTGCATCCTATTATTAATTCTCAAATATATTAATTGGCGCGCGGAAAAAAAATCAATCTTGAAAGGGTATATCGATTAATAAACCTTTGGGGTTTTAATGGGCACACCGAAAATAATCACAGATTTTAACCCTTTTTTGACCAGTGGTGATAAGAGCTTTGGAAGTGTGTTTACTCCCCATCTGTGTTGAGAATACGCACATAGATATTCAAAAATTTAGCGAATGAATTATTATTGGATTGAGAAAATTAATTCTCATCGCATCATCTTGTCAATTGTTCTATATTATCACCTCTTTTGACCCGGCATTGTAGAAATTTCTTCCTCAGCATCCGGGACATCACTCACAAAAATCGGATACATTAACGAGGATTTTCGGAGAACACGTTCAGATTGCCATGCACGTATCGTCGGATGATGATATCCACCTTGGAGAATCGAAGAGATACTATCTGTCATTGTTTACTTTTGGATGTGATTTGATCTCGATTGAAATGCACTTTTTATTTATTTGATCATTCAATCCCAAATTTATAAAGTTTGATTGTACGATCTTAACCAAAAGTGTTTCCTTTCTAACGCTAACTGTGTCACATTTAAGACAATCAGTCGGGTGATATATTAATATAGTCGAAAGTCCGACACTACTATTATCGTTATTAAATGTAAATTTATTAAATGTATCAAGAGTGTTTTAAATCTATAGTTTTGCCTGCGACGTCGGATCTCTACAAAAATAAAACATAAACGGCTTGCATACAATTCTAGCGATCGATCAATATAATACCTAATAGTTAAAGCGTTGCGAGTCATGTGATCTGACACGGGATAATGTGGCTGACCCCACTTCGGAAGAAATCCGGTGTTAAAGTGTCATTGGGATCTGCAAAGTGTACAAACAAAACAATTATTATTATTAATAACATATTTCTCTTAGATTGGGATGGAAATGGAAACTGTTTTCTTGTAATTTTGACAGTAGCAGATCTTTCAATCAAAAATACAAGTTTTTATTTATTATCTCACTATTTTTTGTAATATTTATTGATTATGCTTGCTTACACATTATGTACCAATTATACTTCAAGAAAATTAATGATGAACATGCAGATATTCATTCTGGCCACATGAGAATTGAAAATACTTATCACAAAATAACTCGAAACTATTATTAATCTCAAATGTGAAAAGATATTGAATAATATATTAAAACTCATAATATTTGTCAATGAAAAGGGCAAATGAGTAAAAATAATAAGATAACACCAATCAAAGTTGGTGTATCATTTGAGAACATTGGAATAGACCTAGTTGGTTCACTTACAATAATAACCAATGAAAATTAATACATTATAGTAGTTATTGACTATATAATTAAATGGGCAGAAGCAAGAGAAATTCCAGATATCTTAGCAAAATCAATACTTCCATTTCTAACTGAAGATATTATTATCAGATATGAATTTCTAAAAGAACTTATTAGCGATAGAGGCACAACTTTTGTTAATTAATTATTACAAGAGTTTAATGAAAATGCTCAAATTAAATATCGATTATTCACACCATATCATTTACAAATAAATGGATTAGTAGAAAGACTTAATTGAACTTTGTGTATTGCTCTAGCAAAATATGTATAATTATATCAAGAAGATTGGGATAAATATTTACCAATGGTACTTTATGCTTATAAAACAATACATCAAAATACAACACAATTTGAACCATTCTATTTGACATATGATAAATATGCAAATACACCATTAGACTTAATTTTAAAGAAGTCAATTAATAATATTAATAAAGATAAAGCAATTATTTATAAAGCTTGTGAAATTATTGATCAATTAAAACCAAAAAGAGAAGTTGTCTTACAAAATATATCAAAAGCTCAAGTAAACAGAAAGAATATTATGATTAAAACAAAAAATAAGAATTTCAAATTAATCAAAAAGTTTTAATAAAGAACATGAAAGTTCAGAATTGATATCACAACAAATTTGGAGAAGAATAGTTAAATCCATTTTATATTCATGAAGTTTTCAACAAAGATGTTTATAAACTAAGAGACATGAATAGAAAATTACTTAAAAATTCATACAATAATGACCATCTCAAACTATTTAAAAGACAAGAATATTGTCACTATTCACTATTTTCTTGATTACCTGACATGTGATATTCGAATCAGACTCGAACTTGACAAAAAGTTCAATTCGAGTTCAAGTAAATGTTTGTTGATGTTCTAAGTAAAGTTGTAGACCGTAACATGAGCTACAAATTGATATAAA